TGGTGCGTGAAATTTTTAACTATTTTCCAATGTTTGAACTATTTTTGCATAGACTAAAATACAAAGTAGTGAAAATCATTAGCAGGCAATCGTTCGATGGGCTGGATTGCACAAAATGCATGATCGCACCGGCTAGTTTGGTACGCGCTGCTATTTATTCTGACTCCAACAAAGTAATAATGGCACTATAGCAGTTCAGTTTCCTTAAGCCTCAGTTCCAACTAGCAACATGTGAGCGTCTGCCAATTTGGTGCTTCATAATATTCTACAACAATATGAAGTCGGGCGTTCGACTCCGTCGGTGAGATAACCAACCCTTCACGACTCGTTCGTTCTTTCCATGGTAAACTCATACTGACATTTTCTTGGAAGTCAAACCTGCCATCAGTTTGTTTGTAAGCAACTCTCAGAAGAGGAAACCATCGACAGTCTTCCCAACAAGTGGTTGGTGCTGGCGTTCACTACCACTCGGGCTAGTTCCTGCTGCCTTCGCTTCCCAAAGACAGCGAATGCGAAATGCATTTTGACTTTTGAATTTGGTGCATTAAACAGATAAAACATATGTGAATGTGGTTAGCGCAGCTTTTTGTCCTCAATCCGAGGAAGAAAAACTCCCGAAATAGTAGAGGCATAATTTGGAGTAATCAAAGTAGAACAGTAATCAAACATTTGGTAGGAAGGATTACTTTTCGATCTAATGGATACTGAATTTTCTGATGAAACATAAAATTAGCAACAAAAGTACGGTGATTCTTGAAGGCACATAAACTCTAAAAAATGGAATAAGAGGAAAAATGAGCTGCTTTGTTACAGGCATATTTTCAGTGCCTCCACTTGACCGTGGGCATAGTAAAAAAGTTAATAAATTTTAGCCGCGACAGGCCTGAAGAAACCTAACAAAATCGACTACCTCCTTCCCCCGTCTCGCCCCCCTCCCTCTCTTTCGGATAAATCAAGTGAATAAATTGGGACCACAGCCAAAAATGCAATCGGCTGGTTTATTGCTATATAATTCAAGCTAAGCATACCTCATAACTGTCAATCAATTCTAATGAAAGACAGTAAAGTCAACTTCCGCTCACAAAGGGAAGTAAACCTGCTCATTTTTTTATAGCAAATTCTGCAGCAGGCTCAAAAAAGTTTCTGAGAATTCTCTGTAAATAGATACTCAAAAGAGGACGATATTCCCAGCAGACTAAATTGTTTTGCCCTTTTACAAGATATTTTGGTAAATGTACTCAGGAAAAGTTCACGAGTTTGCAACTGGACTTGGAACTGCATGCAATGGATGAGAATCGAACAAACCTTTCAAATTCAGGTTTCATTTCATCGCTGAATATCCAGGCCACTACTGCGCTCGCGTCAAGCAACGACATTTTCAGTAATTTCGTTATCAATACCGTTACCATCTGAATGGTAAAAAATTTGCTGGAAATTAGCCTCAGGCTATATACATCTCCAATGATATCAAACGAGTTTCTCGAAAAAACTAACCTGCCTGTGCAGTTTCCATGTTTCATAGATGGTTCTTAAAACAGTCAGCTGCGCATCTTCCTTGTTTCCAATAAGCTCTTTCAGCGTTGAATAGTACCTTCAAAACATACTGCCATGAGAAGGGGTGCAAAAAAGTATTGCCGAATTCGGTATTACTTGAATTCAGTATACTTAACAGAGGCCAAAAAATGTCAAAATTTGAGCAGAAAACTGCAGGCTACAGAAAACTGCAGTAATTACCTAGACGTATTCAAAAGGGGCAAAACGTGTCAGATTTAAGCAGAGGAATGCAAAGCTAGGTCAAGGCTACTGGATGAGAGTTGAGCAAGCCATTGTAAGCCTCAAAAGGAAATAACCGAGATGTGAAAATGACACTGTATTTAGGGAAATTTTGATTCTCAGAGGCTAAAAAAAGACTGGAAAGTAAAATAAAACAAAATTAGAAGCCTCGACTTTGAGTAAATAATCCTCTAAATTATGAAGACACGCAGTAGGGTTGGTGATGTTGGCTCAGCTGGCAGCTGAAAAACTCATCTTTAGGAAGAGATCTGCGTAAAATATCAACTGAAATAAGTAAAGCGTAGAAAATAACATGCCGTGTTAATGCAGCAAAATTGTGGCTGAAAGTTTTGCGAGCCAAATACAGCAGCACTTTAAGGAAGACAGATAATCCGGCACTCGAATCGGACCACTCGGCAGTTTTGTTCTTCAGCAAATCAATCATATCTTCCGCTGAACACTTCTCGCGAAAAGCCTTCTCAAGAGCCATAGCCAAATCATGGTCCGGATGCTCCTCTCAAAAACAAAACAGTGCCTGCATTATCAGAAATCACTAAGCCAGAAAACATAGAGCCTTATTTTGTGGTCAAATATAACACATGAAAAAGGCGTGGGTTTATGCAAATAATTGTTATTCATGCAACTATAATTCAAAATCTTATTGATGTTTGTTTGTTAGAAATCAAGAATATTTATTTTAATAAAGTTTGCG